GCCTCTCAAAGTGCTCGGATTATAGGCATGAGCCACCATGCCAGGACTATAGCATCTTCCCTGCCTTCTGACAGCCCCTGCGTTAGACAGGAAGACAGAGGCCCACGCTCCAGAGCCCTCTTCCCCAAACTCTCCTGCCGGTATAGAATATACACGTGACACACTGGTCATGCCCCCCAGCATCCAGGACCCTCCCTGGAAGTTTGATTCAACAGGGTCTGGTCTTTGCCTTTTCAAACAAACACTGCCAGATGATTCTCACGGTGGGAGGTTGGACAAACACTGCCCCTGGCCCCCAGAAAGCACAGGATCAAGGCCAGGCCCTATCCTTCAGACAGTAAGGCAGAAAAGTCAGGCTTTTGATGTCTGCTGGCCCTGGTGGAGGGAGAGGCACTGCCCAGGCAGCGTGTTTCCCTGGTCTCCACCATGGCCAAAATGGAGATGGGTCCATCTGGCCAGCATTGCTCACATGAGTGGCCCACCATCGTAGGCATTGGCCATTTGCCTCTCCAGCATCCAGGCTTCCCTTTCACTGGGGACTCCCCCTGCTGTTTCCTTCCAGGGTTTGGGGTCTCAGCAATCAGCATCTATCCAGCTCCAGGGAGAGGCCTGTGAGCCTGGCTTAAGCTGATTGTTGGCAACTCATTTCCTCAGCCAGTGACTGGTTTGGACAAAAAAACAGTCCAATCAGAGGGAACCATGGGGCCCGGGTACGCGTTGCCAGATCGGAGGCTTGTTATTTCCTTTTGGGCTTACTCTAGAGGGGATGAGACCCCTCTGCTCCATGACATCTGACACCTAAGTTACGATTACAGTCAATGCTTACTGAGGGCTCACCTGGGTCAGATGCCCTGCTAAGCACTTGACATTGATCATCTCATTTCATGCTTACCACAAGCAGGAGACAGGTGCTATGATCATCATCATTTGTTGGATGAGAACATCAAGGCACAGAAAGGTTAAGTAGCACGCCCCAGATCCCACTGCTGGGCAGGGAGCCAGGCAGTCTGGCTCTCCTCGCCATGGTGCCCACAGCTGCCAGGGACTACCCGCCCCAGAGCTGGAGAGAGACACCAGCCCCATGGAAGGCAGAGGAGCAGTGGAGAGGAATGGATTCTCAAGACAAAACCTGAGCTGCGGGTCCAGCTGTGTCTGAAGCTAGCGTTAGTCACCTAAGGACTTTTGGTTATGAAAACCAGTAAGTCCCCTTCTTTTCTCCTTAATCTGGCTTGAGTTTTTTTCTTCTCTTTTTCGGTTGCTTGTAAGGGAAAGAAATGATTACTTTACAGTCCTTCTAGGCAAGTACCCCTAACTGATATTCCATTTACAACTTGCACACAGCAGCTGCTCAGTAAATGCGGATGGACTGCTCTCCCTTCCGGTCCATTCACCGCTGGCTCTGTACCCTGACACCCAACTGTGGCCAGCCCAGCGCCTCTTCCCCTTTAGGCTCCAAGTGAGGCCTCGTTCCCTAGCAACCACCCCAATTAGGCAACCATGCCATTTATCAGGATGCCAATTAATTATAATGATCTTAATGCTCTCCCAATTAGACAGTGCCTTCAATCCGGCTGGGCCAGGGGTGTCTGTAGAATCTCCACCAAGGCCCATTCCAAGGAGGCCCAGGGAAAGCAGGTCTCAGGGAGGGCCCCCCTCACCTGCAGGTCAGCATTGAGACGCCCCCATTTTCCACATCCACCCAGGCCTGACACAGAGCACCCTGGCACCACCCCCAGGGCCAGGCCAGTGAGACTCCATCACCAACCACAGGAAGGTCTCACCTCTAGGAGAGCTTTCGCCCTCTGGCCCCTGTGCTCTGAGTGGGCTGAAATCTTCATCTCGGTTCCCCTGGCTTTTCCATCAGCTGCATTTGATGTTCCCTTTGCATTCTGACTGGGGGAGGGGAGAGTGTGTCTGCTCACAAGCAGAAGAAAAAGCACCAGGCAGGCACATGTTTTCCTTGGGGCAAAAAACCCCAAATACAAACCCGTGACTCTCTGTGTGAACGGTGGGGGTTTATGGAAAGTTGAAGGGCTTCGACTTTGCAAAGTTTGACTGTCTGAAGGTGTTTTCTTCCCCTACATATGTGTTTCTTCTACATCTGGGACAAAGGCCAAGGTCATGGAGGAGAGCCCAGTGGTTCCAAGTGGATCCTGGAGCTTGAGGGCCTTTTGAATCCCAGCTCTACCTGTGACCAGCTGTAGGCAAGTCACAATCACCTCTGTGCCTCAGTTTCCTCATCTTTAATATGGTAACAATTGCAGTACTTACCTCATAGGGTGGATTTAATGAGTGAGATATCAGGGCTTAGATCAATGCCTCAGATCAGGCCCATACAAAACTACTTAAGTGTTATCAATTATCTTAAGTCTGGACTAAACCTTTTAACTACAAGCTGGTCAGAAATGCTGATATTTTTCTCTAGGACAAGGATTCTGGACTCCTTCTGCAGGACTGAAGTCTTAAGATCAGATAATGGCCAAAGCTTGACAGAGTTGGGTGATATTCTGCCTGGTTAACCCAGCTGCCCTCTTGAGGCAGGTCCAAGCAGATAAACTAACCAGTGCCAGAAAAAGTAAGAAGGAAATGTTATGTCCCAAATCAGGTGTGAAACTGTGTATCAACTGGGTTTTCTGGACAGCAGCTGAACTTGAGGACATGCGCGTGCACGCACGCACACACACTGCTATGCTGTCCTCCTCCAAGACCAGACTTTTACAATCAACCCATCGTTCTACTCTCAAGTTTGAAATTTTAACATGTTATTAGGGTTTCAGAAAAAGCCATAAATTCAAATAAAAAACCCAAGAAGTACACACAAAGCTCAAACCCCAAACCCACACTGACTCTCGGCTGCAGCAGTGATGCCAACATCACGGCTTTTATGTACATAAACTTGGCCAGGGAAGGAAGAGGCCTTCATGTACAAAGGTCCAAGATGCCATCCGCCAAGCCCACCACCTTCGCCTTTCAAGCTGCTTATTAGAACGCTAAATTACACACCTGACAGGCTGTCTGGACGAGTTTTCTCTTCTCTATGATGTGGGACAGGCGAAGCTGGGAGAACATCTCTTATAGGGAAGGGGCTTTCATTCTGTCCTCCCCACCCCCTTCCTATACTTAACGATTGGCTCTAATTTAATTAGAACCCTCTGGTGGTTCTGTAATGGGAGGCGGAGGCTCAGTCAAGAAATCCCCTTCACTATTCACTACAAGCTGAAATCCGGAGAGCGCGCAGATCCGGGGTGTCCTCCAGAGAAAGCCCTTCTCACCTGCTCCCTGTCTCCCCCTGAGAACCTGCTCCAGCGCAGCCTCTCCGTCTCCGCACCAAAAGTGGGGGTGGACCCTGTGGGAAACATGCAGGGGACAGATGGAGGAGCGAGAGGGCGGGAGTCCCAACATGCACAGATGAGCAAATACCCAGATTGAAACGTAAGCTGAATGTAATTACTTGGTTAATTAAATATTGACTTTTAACTCAAAAAGTGATTAAAACAAGCTGCAGGAAGACTGTCCAGAAAGGGGGGCAGGGAATGAATCAAAGCTTTCAAGGAGGGGGAGAAGGAGGGGGTCGTCACAGGCAGGTCTAGCTTGCTCTTCCTACTGTGTGCTGGGCCTACAGCGTGCAGGTGGGAAGCTGCGGACCGAGGCCAGTGTGCAAACTAGGATTGCAGGCTTCCCCTTCCATCTTCCACCCCAAGACGGCATCTCTCTACCCTGCTGCCCTCCAAGTGAACCGGCAGCTTCTGGCGCGCAGGAGCCAGATCCTGTTCAGCCGCGTTTCCCTGGAACAGAACGCGGTGCCTGGCACGAGGGGGTGCTCCAGAAATGCTTGTAGAACGAATGAACGAACTACTATACGGAATGTTTGTTTGGAAAAGTGCACTCCTAGAATTCACCGCTAGACTTCTGAAACCCCGAGGAGCCGAAGAGGGGAGCATCTCTCCGCCAGGCGATGGAAACTAGTTCTGCCCTGGCCTGGGAGGAAGTCTGCCTTTTCGATCCTGTTTGCCCTTTCGATGTCTGCGAGTTTCCAATTACTCTGAAGATCCGGCCCACTGCTTCCCCGAGTCCTGCCCGGACAAGCCCCACGTGGGCTGGCTTCTAGCCGGTCCCTTGGGTCTAAACCCCAAGGGTCAACAAGGCCATGCCCCTGCGGACGGTGGGCCCATGCGCGCTTCCCCCGGGGCCGCCTGGGCTCGGTGTGGCGCGTCCGCGGGTCAGGGGCGCGGCGGGAAGTCCTCGCCCGCCCAGCCAGCCAGCGGGGTCAAACAGGTCATCCCCCTGCGGCCGGCCGGCGCCGGAGCCTCCCTCCTGCCTGCAGGGTCCCACCTCCGCGAGCAGCACTGGGGCCGGAGCCGGGCGGTCGGGACCGGCCCCAGCTCACCTGGGCGGCGCTCGCGGCCGGGCTCACGCTGGGGAAGGCTCCGGCCGCCGGGAGTCCCCGCCCGAGCCCCGCGTCCCCTAGCCATCCACCTGCCCCCCACGCCCCACTCACCAGCGCGCACGGTCCCGGCGGCCTCACCAGGCGCGGGGCGCCACCGCCTCTGCCGCAGCCCGGCCGGGCCGCGGGGCGCAGGGGACTCCGCGCCGCCGCCGCTGCTGCTGCTGCCGCTGCCGCTCCCGCCGCCGCCGCCGCCGCCGCTGCATCCCGAGGCGAGCGCGGCTGCTCCTCCTCCTGCCTCCTCCCCGCCCCCCAGCGCCGCCGCCGCTGCCGCCGCCGCCCCCGGCCCCCGCCCCGTGCGCTGCCCAAGCCAAAGTCCGGCTCCGCGCCCCGCCCGGACCGCTCTTAAATCGCCCCAGCCCGGCCGGCCGCGCTGCCCCAGCCAGCCCCTTGGCACGGCGCTGCCGCCCCCTGCCCGCCGGCCTCCGCGCAGGGAAGGCGGGCGCGCTTCGGGGCGGGGAGCGTCGGGCCGGGAGCAGCGGACGGCGGGGGCCCGGGGCGCGGGGGGCCCAGCCAAGGTGCCCTCCTCTAGCCCTCCGCGCGCGAGCGCTTTTACCTCCGGCTCGGGGGACGCGCGGCCCGCGACCCGGCTCTGCCTGTCCCCGGCGCACGGCCCCGGCCCCGGCCCCGAAGTCCAGCTCCGGACGGGGCAGTGGACGCAGAGCTGGGGTCCCGGCGGCTCTCGGCCTCTGGATGCCTCCGGACCCGGCTGGCCGCGCTCCCGGCGCCGAGCGCGCACCCTCGCCGGGAAACACAGACGCACACTCACCCGACACACTCTCGCTCCCGCTTGCCCTCGGTGGAGAGTTGAAACAGATGTGGGATTCGCCCAGGAGCTGGAAACGAGGGAGGGAAGCGAGCCAGAGCCGTGTGTGCGTGTGTGTGTGTAACACACAAACCAGGGGGCATCGCTAATAAATCAAATATCGTGATAAATTCAGGAGGGCCATCGATCAGGTCCACTTGGCTGGAAACGACGTGAATCTGCCTCTTTTCTGCTTTCTTCTCCTCTCTCGGAGCTGGAGGGAGCCAAGTGTTTCGCGGGGCGTGCGACAGCCCCGACCGGGCGCTCCCCTCGTAATGACACGTTAATAAATGTTTTCTTTTATCTGCTTTCACAGAACTCGCCCCGGTCTGCAAACACTCGACTGCCTTTGCTGAAAGCCTCGCGCTCGCCTCCAACCGCACACATTTGCCATTGGAGAGGCCGGCGCCGGCCGCGACCCCGCGGCTCAATCGCAGGGCAAACCGAGCTGCCCGTGCGCGCCCCAGAGCTCCCCGAGAAACTAACTTGGGCTCAAGTGAAAATAGCAGCTGTTGCCCAGAAATGGCCCGGGAGTAGCAAAGAAAAGAGAAACCGGCTTCTTCCGAAAGGGGAGGAATTCGACTCAAGGGGGTGCTGTCTACCGCGGTTTCCGCTGTCCCTCGCGCCACAGAAGAGGCCGGAGGGGGACCGGCCTGACGCGGGTGGGCAAAGAGCGAGCAGAGAACCCACCAGCAGCTGCAGAACACACAGCCGAGTTGCTTGCTAAGGGGAAACAGACGCCGCTGTAGGAAAGCACTTGTAAGCAGCAGTAACTTATTAAACCTTGTGACAATCTCACACAGTAAGTTACTATGCCCGTTTTACCATGGAAACCAAGAGAGGTTTAGTAACTGTCCGAAGATTGCACAATTATAAGTGGTGGATCCTGTGAAGCCAAGAAGCCTTAGCTCCAGGCTCATGCTCTTAAATCCTAGGATGTTTTTACTTTTCAACCTAGCATCTCCTTTCTGTGGTGTGATCCTCCATGCTAGACTTGTCAGAGACTTAACAAATGCAGACCTCTATGGGGAGGAACTTAGTACTAAAAAATTATTCATTTTTTAATCTGAAATTCAAATCGGATCTCCTGTCTGGGTTTGGGGCTCTAGGCTCCTCCCCATAACCTCTGTTAGCCACCCCAATCAAGTTAGAGCCTAAATAAATCAGAAAAACCTTGAACTTGCTCTTCCAAATCAGGTGCTGGCCCTACCATTGGCATCACTGATAAGGCTGATCAGCTCCCACCTTCTTCGCCTTGGGACAGAATGTCAGGCTTCACCATCATAGACCAAAAAATAATGGAGACCCCTCTCCCTCCGCCTCATCTCTGTAGAAGGACATATATATAATTTAGAATTTTCTAGTAGTGCATTAGAAAGTGAAAAGAAACAGGTGAGGGCGGGGCACAGTGGCTCACGCCTGTAATCCCAGTATTTTGGAAGGCCAAGGTGGGCGGATCACTTGAGCTCAGGAGTTCAAGACCAGCATGGGCAACATGGTGAAACCCCATCTTTACAAGAAATACAAAAATTAAGCTGGGCATATTGGCATATGCCTGTGGTCCCAGCTACTCGGGAGGCTCAGGTGGGAGGATCACTTTGAGCCTGGGAGGTCAAGGCTGCAGTGAGCCATGATTGTTCCACTGTGCTCCAACCTAGGTGACAAAGTGAGACCCTGTCTGAAAAAAGCAGGTAAAATTAGTTTTAATGTTAATAATATAGTTAACCTAGAATATCCAAAATCGATCTCTTCATATAATTAATATAAAATTATTAATGAGATATTTTTACATTATTTTTTCCTACTAAGTTTTGTAAGCCGGTGTACAATCTAAACTTCACAGCGCATCTCAACTGGGACCAGCCACGTGTGGCTCAGGGTTCCCATGCTGGACAGTGCAACTCCGGCAGGTTCTGCGGTCAATGGCTGTTTCCACCAGGTCGTCTCATGTAATCCTCCTGACAATCTTTTCAAGAAAACTGATGCTCAGAGAGATAAAGGGCCTTGCCTATAGTCAAGAACTTGGCCAGTGGGATTTCAACTCATTTGCTGTCCTTGGTTTTGGGACGTGTACCTCACTGCAGAAGCAGTTTTCTTACCGGGTCCTCAGAGACCCCTGGGGGTGCATCTGGGGCCTGGGGTGGAGGAGGGAGGCCCAGGAATGGGATCTGCCTCCCTCCTACTTTTTATGTTGGGTTCTGGAGAATATTTCAGGGGTGGGGAAATTTCCACAGCAAAAAAAATTTTTTTTTTTTTTTTTTTTTTGAGACGGAGTCTTGCTCTGTAGCCCGGGCTGGAGTGCAGTGGCCGGATCTCAGCTCACTGCAAGCTCCGCCTCCCGGGTTTACGCCATTCTCCTGCCTCAGCCTCCGGAGTAGCTGGGACTACAGGCGCCCGCCACCTCGCCCGGCTAGTTTTTTTTTTTTTTTTGTATTTTTAGTAGAGACGGGGTTTCACCGTGTTAGCCAGGATGATCTCGATCTCCTGACCTCGTGATCCGCCCGTCTTGGCCTCCCAAAGTGCTGGGATTACAGGCTTGAGCCACCGCGCCCGGCCGCAAAAAAAAGTTTAAAAAAACCCACTGCATTACCACACTATGCCCTTTGGGCCTCGAGTTCCTGAACGTGGCTATCTCATACCCATATGGATCCTGCCCACAATGTTTCACTCCATCCTCCTCTGCTCATCAGGTAATCCCAGTCAGAGAGGGGAAGCTTACAGTCCTTTCTGGGGCTGTGGGCCTGGCGGACATGTGGCATTTGCTTATCTTTTTGGATATGTTGTTTCCATTGTTGCTGGACATTACCAAACATGGTAATGTCTATGTTGGCCCCTTATCCTTCCTTAAGTAGATGGGGACAGATCTTGCGTGTGCATGCATGTGTACCTGTGTGTCCGAGCATGTATGTGTGTGTGTTCATTGTAGGCAGGTGCTATGGGTCACGTGTTTTAGTCTGGACTTAACTTACTGGCTCAGACACCCATGAGGTCAGAGGGTCTGCAAAGCTCCTCTGGCCATGTTTCTTCCCATAATTCCCAGCAAACTCTCTTGTCCTCTGGGTTCAAGGCCTTAGCCTGTTTTCCAGGTCCTTCCAGGCAGGTGGGGACTGGAGGCCCGTTCCGGAGCTCAGAGCTGGGTGTCTGGGATACGTGAGGGGCCCTGAGGGCTCACATGTCCCCCAGCCTGGCAGCCTGGTCTGGGTGGGGCTCAGCAGAATCCTGGGCACCTCCACGGCCTCCTGATACTCCAGCCCCTGCCACCTCCACCCACACCGAGACAGCCTTTCTCCTCCCATGTCCTTCATCCCCCATGACATCTCTTGGTATGATCCTGACCATCCTAGCTGGACGATCAAGCTTTTCAAGCTCCTCATGCCGCCCCATTCTCCCCAGCATTGTTGATTTAACCTCAGGGGGACCTTTCTCTTGACGCCTCCATGCCTCGTTTCTTCCCTCTATAGATTCCTTGGCAGCTCTTTTGTGCAGAACGCCCGTCTGGTTCTATCTCCCTTGCAAGGCCGGAGTTGCTGTTTTATTCCCTTGACTCATATGTAACAATTAAAAAAAAAATCATTCTTGCTATGTGTTTCTTTATTTCTATCAAGAGGTTGAAACTCAATCTGATTGTCTGAGCACTTCTGGCTGGATTTGGGTTGGAGTCGATGGGATTTTATGAGGGTTGTAAAAGTCAAGCTTTTAACATGTCTCAAGCAAATTGGCGTGTAAAGGAGAAACGTTAGAAGAAGGAACATGGCTGCAGACGGGAGGCTTGGGAATGCGAGCCGTAGAACTGGGACACAGGTGGCTTTAATAATGCACACAAGTTTGGCTGTAAGTTGCTTCTACAAGAGCAGAAGAGGCTGCAGAACCACTCTCAGGAGGTTGAGATCAAACTTCTCAGCTCCTGAGTGCACACAGTTTTGCATGGGTTTTAAAATACAGATTCCAGGATCATCCATAACAATATAAATCTGTGGTTAATTCTGCTGAATTTTCACTTAGACCCAAGCTGTGTTGTCAGTAGAAATGCAGTTGCGTTAGAGAAAAACTGTTTATATTTCTTGAGATACTGTGATAATGAAAAACAGTACCATAAACCCCCATTAAGTAAGAAGAACATTAATTGTATTTCATGCTACCTCCCTGGGCCAGCACGCTGACACAGACATGCTTTACTTCAGCAAAACACGGCTAATCTTTGCAGCACGGTACCCATTTTCCCCTTTAATTACACATAATTGTATAGTCTAATTTATTCTAACGCCTGACGCTGAAAAGTGCACATTTATGAATCAAGGGTTAGTTTGGGAGGGAGGAGAATTATAAACGGGTATAATTGCAGTCTCCTGGGGGCTGCTTATGAGTGATTTCAAAGAATGATGATGTTTATTCTCATTTCTTACCAGTGAAAGACAGTAGGGCTGCCTCCAGTTAAGATACTGTTCTAAGAACACAGATAACAGGACAATTTGTCTAGTTGCTTACAACACTAGTGGTTTTCCTTTGGATAAGCAGGCAAGAAAGATTAAAGATGTGGGTTCCACCTATTTTGCGATGTGATGAAATCCAGGCACACAGACAGCATCAGTAAATGTGCAATTGAGTATTAAAATGAGTAATGTGGCCCCAGGCAGCACAGCTGCAGATCTCGGTGGACAAGGGAGAGTGTGTGGAACTCTGTTGGACGATAGTTGTCTCAGGGGGAAAAGCAGGATCCATTTGACCATTAGTGCAATTCACTTTAGGGCTCTCTCTGGAACAGTGCGTCTAGTTTTGCAATCGTATTTCAGAAAAATCACCTTTAAGCTTTGATCATAATTAATTAATCAATTATGATGAATGTTGATGGTGATTTAGTAAAAGTGGAATGATGACTTAGGGCTCCCCCAGGGCTGAGGTTTCTAACGAACCTAGGCTATGCCTCCACTGTCTGGCCCCTCCTTGGCTGATCTTCCCAGGCCTCAGTTTCCTCATCTTACGAATGAGGATAGTATCGAGGACATTGCTGGCTGTCATGTGGATTAAGTGAGATTGATAAAGGTAAAAGGCACACACGATGCCTGGCTGGAAGGTACACAATGAGTGTTCACTAAATCAGAATTGGAAACATGCTGTCTTGTGCTCCTGAGAGAGACACTTCGTGGTCTGCAAAGCCAGACTTTGAAATCCAGGGCAGTGGAGGCAATGATGCCAAAGGAAACCAGATCATGTCACTCCTAGGCCTAAAATCTCCTCCTCTTAGATGGAAATGCGATCCTGCTCCTGCCTGGCACTCCAACATCTTTCTCTGCTGTCTTGCTTCCATTTTTATTATGAAAATTTCACATGAAAAAGTTGAAAGAATGGTACGGTGGACACACTTACACTCTCCACCTAGAATCAACAGTTGCTAATATTTTGCCATGTGTGCTTTATACATTGCAGAAACATTTGAGAGGTGGTTGCAGACATGATGACACATTACCCCTCAGGAGTTGGGCAGGCATCTCCTAAGAATCGGTTGTTTTCCCAGGTGACCTCCCTATTATTATCACACCAAAGGAAATGAACAGTAATTCCATGATCACTCCTTTGCTCACAGAAACACAAAGGTATCTTTCACTTCGTTCCTCAAGCCTTTTCCTGCCTCAGGACCTTTGCACTTTCTGTGGCCTCTCCCTGGCATTTTTCTCCCCAGACTGTGCTCCAAAAACTCTCACTACTCAGGTTTCAGCATGATGTCACCTCCTGGGAGAGTTTGTCCCTGTCTGTTTCACCTAAAAATGCTTCCCAATCACTCCTCCCTTCCCCATTTTAGCATCTTCCTATGACATACCGCTATCTGAAATTCTGTTTTTATTTTCTGTCTGTGACTGCGGTCTATGTCCCCCTCCCCACTCCCCATCCCACGCTACCTGCAGGAGAGCAGGGGCTGTGTCCATTTCTTCACTGCTGTAGCTGCAGTGACCAGAACATTGTCTTGCATAGAGTAGATATTCAATAGATACTTGTTAAACGAATGAATGAATATCCTACATGTGATGTTT